TTATGAATTTTTAGAATCAGAGAATGGTGTTTGGAATGCTAAGAAACAGAAACTTAGCAATTTGATAGAAGGTACAGATAGTAAGGATGCTGTGAATGTTTCACAAGTTCCAAAAATGGAAGCAGGCTATTGGGATTTTAATAATAAAAGGTTAGTACGTGTAAAACCCGCCGTTGATGACACTGACTGTGTTACAAAAGAACAGACTATAACTTATGATAAAAAAGAAAAATGTTGGGATGCCAAAAAACAATTTATAAGGAATCTGCCAAAGGGGGAATATTTAGATGATATTTGTTTAATGTCACAAGCTATGTATTATGATGGATCAAAATTTGTATATGCAGGAAGAAAATTTAATTTGATGGAATACAATCCTGATTTATTAGTTGCCGACCCCACATCTTTGAGTGGATTTAAGTATATAGATAATAGACCATATATACCAGAAAACTATGTATTTAAAAGAATGGAAGATAATCTATTGATTGGGGCTAATGGTAATATATTTACAGTACAAGGAAAGAGTGATGTTATAAAAAATGAATGAAATTGCATACGAACTTCATAAGCCTGCAAGAAAGAATTTCATTAGAAGGTCTTTTAAAGTATTAGGTATAAACGAAACTGTACAAATAGATTTAATTGATATGCAAAACTATGCTAGAGAGAATTCTGGCAATAAATATATTTTAACTTTAATAGATACATTTTCTAAAAAAGCTTATGCTGCTCCACTAAAGAATAAGACGGGTTTGGTGGTTACAGAAGCCATTAAAACCATTCTACCAAAGGGGGTTAAAAACATTCAATCTGACAATGGAAAAGAATTTTTTAATCAATATTTTAGCAAACTAATGAAAAAATTAAATATTAATCACTATCACACTTTTTCTACAACTAAGGCTGCAATTGTGGAGAGGTTTCAGAGAACTTTAAAGAATTGGTTATATAGGGAATTTAGTGCTCAGAGAAGTTATAAATAGTTGGATTTACTTCCAAAGTTAATTCGAAAATATAATAATAAGGTGCATAGATCTATAGGAATGAAGCCTAACCAAGTGAGTATTAAGAACAGTAAATATGTGCATGAGAGGTTGACTTCTAAAGTAGTGCAAGTTAAAAAGCCAAGATATAAGGTAGGTGATAGTGTGAGAATTTCCAAGTATAAACATGTTTTTAGTAAAGGTTATACTCCGAATTGGACAGGGGAACTATTTACAATAGCAGAAGTAAAGAATACAAAGCCTGTGACTTATATCTTGAAAGATGAAAATGGTAATATAATCAGGGGAGGCTTCTATACAGAGGAGTTGTTAAAGACCAAATATAAAGACATGTATTTGATAGAGAAGGTTATTAGGAGAAAGGGTGATTTATTATATGTCAAATGGCTTGGGTTCCCAAGTAGCCAGAATTCATGGATTTCCACTAAGGATGTCCAAGGGAGCGCGCCATGAGCCGGGAGCGCGCCCGAGTTCGCGTACAAACCTCGCACTGTCAAGTTGATGATTTTGAGAATATACATGTGAATGGATATGGATTTAAAATAGTAATAGTGTTGTACAATGGTATTGAACATTTATATAGGCTTGTATAGGCCGAGAGCTGGATTTTTAAAAAAAGTGGTCAAAAAAAGCTCACCATGTTATTCTTATGGGGAAAACGTGCCTAAAGTGATGTTAAACCATCATATTGCCTCTACTCTACATTTACACTTGTAAGGGTCAATAAATATAAGAAATAGCTTTTTTAGCTTAATATCGAATATATTTATGGGGAATAAGTAAGAAATAAGGTTTGACAATTTTATAGGGATATTTAGGCAAAAGATCAGGATTTTTGGTTTTAGTGGCCAAAAAATGATCCCATGTTATTTCTTATGGGAAAACGTGCCCCAAGTGACTTTAAACCCGTATATTATATCTACTGTGTAGCGAATGTAAGGTTTGTCAGGAAAGGTCAGCAGATGACTGTTTGTTTTTGGTGAATGGAAATTGACGATTTTCAAATATCTCAGCTGTATGAAAATGGGATATTTTTGGATACAGATTGATGAAAAGGTAATTTTCTAATTGTGCCATATGATTTCATTTTATTACAAATTTTCTGCGTGAAGAGTGAATTAAACGTCATAATTCCATGTGTAAACCAGTAATTTAGTATGTTAGATAAAATAATCTTTCGTATGACTTATTACAGTAGTATTAACTACTTATGAAGATGTAATAAAGATGAAATGTTGAATTCGTCAAGTAATTCTTTTTTAAATCTCACACCATAAAAATTAACAGCAATTTTATATATGAATTTGAGATTTGAAGTTAGTTTTAATGTTAATTATAGGTATATTTTATTTTTTTACGATTTATTGGTTCTTAGCCAATTTAGTTTTAAATATGTCCATACATTCTTTGCATGTAAAGGTGATTTTAAAGGACTTGCATATTCGAACAAATACTAAATTATGCTCAAGATTTTAAACCTTAGAATGGGATACTATATGTTTAGTAAATATATCTATCTAAAATAATAAAAGTTAGGATCTACAATAAATCCATAGGTAACTGCTAAGTCTAGGCGAGTTTTATTCATAATCTGTTACCTTCTATTGTGCTTATATTAACCAAGAAACCCACGAAATAGTTTCACTTAACAAATAAAATATCTAAGACACACTCTTTACGGTAAGAGAGACAAAATACCCCCGCCGCAGCAAACCTGCAGACTAAGCGAATTTTAATTAAATAGAATTACTTTAACAAGTAATTAGGTTTGCTGCATCAGGGAGGGTAAAACTGTTTTTTTTTTTTTTTTTTTTTTTTTTTTTTGTAAAATGTGAATAGTTAGTAAGAAATAAAAACATTTTCCAAATTTGATCAAAATATGATCACAAACAATGAAACAAGCAAACTACAACAGTTTTCTTATTCTCCATAAGAATAACATGGGAATTTTAAATTTACAATTTTTTGGAATTTTCTCCGTAACCATTAGGCGCATAGGCTAATAACGCTTCAATATACTAAATTATTTGTTTTTTTAAGCTCTACAAAATGGTTTGGAAAAAATTGCTAAATTTGATGTTTTTTGGGTCAAAAATGGGAAAAAACAATTTTTACCCCATAAAACCCCCCGTAAACCCCCGTTCCCATGGTCCGATCATGCTGGATCGCGAACTCGTTCGAATAAACGTACGTTTACACGTTTGTACCAAATTTCATCAAAATCGGATCATTTTTGCTCGAGTTATCGTGCTGACGGACACACATATATATATATATTAGGGATGGACGGGATTGAATTTTTGGTTCGGGACGGGACGGGACGGGATTTTTATTTCCTTCCCAATTTTCGGGACGGGACGGGACGGGATTTTTTTGTGTAAGACGATCAAAACTTTGGTTTACTTTAAAATGTAAGTAAAATGTTTGGAAAAGGCAACAATGACAAACAAAAGCAGTGTTCAGTCTTTATTGATCAGTCTTTCTTAACTGTACTAAATGCAATCAAACAAAGGGTAAAAACATCTAGGCAACAAACACAACCAAAAAACTCTAAGCAAACTAAAATGATATAATACCTACCTAAAAATACAAGTTCACCAAATATAAAAAGAAAAAGTACACATTTTATGCTTTTGAACTATGGTGCATCAGTCTTAATTTTATGTGACATTAGGGCCTAAAAGTATCATTTATTTTTAAAAGCCCTGGACTTTACATAAATTACTGTAATGTTTCATCAAAAATATAGCTTAGATACCAAACTTATTATTTTATATGAAATGGTGACAAAAGAGGGAAACATAATTTAAAATAGTAGTGGCAAATTTAACATCAGATTAATAACAATAACAGTAGGCCTATATTGTAACACATTATAATTTCAAAGTGCCTAATTTGATTTATATACCACATTTTTTGCAAACTATCACAAGCTATGATTAAAAATTTACCCTGAAAGAATATGCCATGTAGTCAAAATAGCCTACTTATCCTAAATAAACTCAAAGCATCAAAACAAAAGATAAATACTAACAACGAAATGGTAAAAAATCAATAGCAATAATAATATATCTTAAAATATTATGAGATCAAACCATCTTATTTGATTTGCTTTATATCAAATCAAATTCATTGCAAACTATCACAATCTGTGATTAAAAATTACCACTTGAAGAATATGTCATGTTGTCAAAATACTTAGCCTAAATATTAAGATATTATGAGATCAAACCATCTTATTTGGCTTGCATTATATCACATTTATTGCAATTATCACACGCTGGGTAACACTAAAGAATATGTAATGTTGTCAAAATACTTAGCCTACTTATCCTAAATAAACTCAAAGCATCAAAACTAAAAAATAAACACCAACAAAGAAATAGTAAACAAATCATTAACAATATATCTTCTTAAGATATTATGAGATCAAACCATCTTATTTGATTTGCCTTTTATTTATCACATTTAGTGCAAATTACCACAAACTCTACAACTGAAAAGAAATCTAACACTAAAATATGTACTCAAATAGTCATCTTAAGCTAAGAAAACTCAAAGCATCAAAACAAAAATAAACATTAACCAAGAGATGATTGCAAACATAAAAATTAATAACAATGTATTAACATTGAACAACCTAATTTTATTTGCATTTTATCACATTTATTGCAAGCAAACGCATCATTTAAGCTCCATCACAAGCTCTGACTAAAAATCACACTGAAAGAATATGTTGCTAAAATATCTATCCTAAATAAACTCAAAAACCAAAACTAAAGAACATAAATGATATTTAATATTTTATAAGCATTAATATAACAGCTACATTGACATTCACAATAGTTTGACTGTAGGCCTACTAGTTTTCATAGAGATTGAGGGACACATTTGTCATTTACATAGTAGGCCTATCAAATTTGGTAGGTGCTGTCAGTCAAGATATCAAAATAAGACTGTTAAAGAGGTAAGCCTGTTGGTCAAATGTTTGACTTATTTCAACTTATCATACAATAGTTTCGCGTTTTGATGTAGAAACACCAACTCCTCTACATGTTCATTCGAAAGTCTTTGCCTTAATGGTGAAACAACGTTACCCGCACTTGAGAATGTCCTTTCGCTTGCTACTTCTGTCGCCGGTATTCCTAAGTACTGACGAACGATGGACTTCAAAAGGGGAAACCGTCCTTCGTTTTCCCTCCACCATGCACAGGGATCCTCCGATGGTGGAATGGTTTGTTCAGCAAAGTAGATTTTAAACTCATTGTCCACCTGGATTTCAAGCTGGGTGCTTTCCTGTGGTTCTGAAGCCTTCTGTGCTGCAGCTTTTTTGAAGATCGACCACAACGATTTTGATTTGTCTTCTTCATCTTGGGCTAGAAAGACAAGATTTTGATAAAAAACAAAATAAATCACACTGTTTAAAAAAATATGCAATATGTGTTTTATTATTATGCCTTACCCTTTGAATTGGAGTACCTTCACAATATTATGTTTCAATTTATATCACAGTTGTTTTTTTTATGTAGCGTACATCCTAATCACATTTCCTTTGCTCTTTCCACCTATGAAAATTTGGCTATCTACCTAATTATTGTAGCCCAGGCCCATAGCCATTTCCCAGAGCATATCCAGAAATATCTCACTGTAAAAGGTAGGTGAGCTTAGTTTAAATATTCCAATAGGCCTACTTTAGCCAAAAAAACACACCTACAGTATTTTGAAAGAGAGTTGGGATGTTCCCTTAAAAAATAGTCACAATTTTTTTATAGACCCATATTAAAATATGGCCTTAATTAGCCTACAGGCTAATGACTGATTTGTTAAGCTCAAACATTTTTTCAATAATTTCAAAATACCTTAGTTCTAAAATAAAAAGTTTTTTTTATGGGTGGATTTTATAGACTATTATTGGAGAGATCCTACTAACCTTTTGACTGATTTGTTTCTGAAGGCGATTGTCCTATGGCTGTCATGATTCTTTGCTTTAGTGAGCCCAATGAAATAGCTCTTTCAAAAGGCTCCAGTGCCACATCCTTAAATCGTGGATCAGTCAGCATTGCTGTCACATATGGATCAACTTTCAATGAGTTAGGAAATCGAGATCTTAAGCTCTTGAGCAATTGGCGTGAAAACATTTTCCCAACCCCTTCTTCGTCATTAATGATTGCACTAAGTTTTTCCTGGATGCAATATAAAATTGGTATAACTAATGAAGCAGTCGGCATTATGGAAGAGCACATCTCGACTGTTGCTTCATAAAGTGGCTCGAGAATTTTGACATAGGCTTCTGCTAGACGCCACTCTGAAACCGTCAAATTATCAATTTTTCCAAATGACACTAGATCCCTTGAAACTGGTTCCTTGTTCTTGATAAGTCGATTGAGCATTAAATACTCCGAATTCCATCGGGTTTCAACATCTTGGATAAGATTCAACACCTCCTTGCCCATCTCTTCCTGTATTTGGTGTAGCCGTTCAGAAGCTGTAGAACTATGCTTATAGTGGCCTACTATTTTCCTGGCTTTTGCTACTAGGTCGGCCATGCCTTGGGTTTCTTTTTTCGCATCCCCTATTGCCAATTGTAAAGAATGGGCAAAACAGCTCAAGGGTGTTAGCTCTTTACACTGGCTTACTGCCAACTTCATGTTTTTGGCGTTATCTGTAATCACATACATTGGAATGCCTAGGTTTGCCAAATCCCAATATTTCAGGCTCTCTCGAACTTTCTGAGCTATATGTTCGCCCTTATGTTCACCAATAAATGAATAGCACCCCAAACAATAATTTTGGATATGGAAGTCTTTGTCCATGAAATGGGTTGTAACTGCTAAATAGGCATTGTTTGACAAGGAAGTCCACATGTCCAAGGTAAGAGATATTGATGTCAAGACTGATTTTTGTTGCTGTATTGAAGAGCTGATCACAGTTTTGACATCTCTGTACAGATCAGGGATCACTCTACGACTAAATGTTTTGGAGGAAGGGACATTATATAAGGGTTGTGCTATGCCGAGAACTTTTCTAAAACCCTGTTCCTCAACAAGGCTGTAGGGGTGTAGACTGGAAGCCATCCATTTTCCAATTTCTTTGGTTAGTACAATGGCCTTAGGATTGGTTCTGTCCCATTTATTGAGGTCGGTTAGCTTTGACTGTTTAGTCTGATCAGGGGTTTTTCTTACTAGGCCTGCAGATGACCCTGGAAGGGGTTTCAGTCGTGTTTTAGATTTTTTCGCCTCATATTCACTTTGAGTCTTTTTGAACAGCAAGAATTTTGAAAAGTGTTTATTCTCTAGATGCCTCCTCATTCCAGTGGTATTCCCAAAGTTTGTTTTTATTACCTGATTGCAATATATACATTTGGCAACCTCACCTGCAGGAGCTGATGATGACGATGATTGTGCAACACTAATGGTCCTGAAATGGTCCCAAATGGGAGCCTTTTTGGTGGCTGATGTTTCAACCCTAGTTGTTTCTTCCTCAGTTTCATTCATTACTATTCTATAACTTGTGAAACAATATCAAATGAATCCGACGTTGTTCAATAAAAACACCGCTAGTGAATCTTCCACAAAACGTGACTATAAACATCAAATTAGTTAGGCCTATTCCTATTTAGCAAATAACCATCTTCAACTAGGCTATACTAAAAAATAAATGTATTAGTTATCACAGTAATAGGATCTTAAACGAAACAATTCAGCCTTAAACACTTCAAAAGATAATCACATCAGTCGGCAGTCTCCTTAGTATCAACAACAACAAATAACTAACCTCAATTTTAAGCAATTCATGCATAGAGAATAGATACGTACATAGAATCATTGACTATATAACACCATTATAACACTAATGGAATCTTTTTGCCGTGGAAAGTGAGTAGGCCTACATGAGCATTGAGTATTCTTATCAAAGTTATTAACAAGTACAAAAATATCTACAAATGAGAATTGTGTCTTTAATGCTTGTTTGAGCTCCCTAATAATAACAATATAAATGTTTTTGTTTTTAGACAGACAACCCAGTAAAATAACGTGTCCTGTTTTCTCTGGTCATAATATATATACATATATATGTATTATATATCTAAGACAACGGAAAAGTAATCCTGTAAAGTAAACTAAAACTGTTTGTAAAAAAATAATTTGCAGACGTCATTCATACTATGTTCAGAGAAAAATAATAGTTTTAATTTTCACATAAATTACATAACACTATGTTAATTTTTAAGAATTAATTGGCAACAGACTTTAAATCAAAGATATTTAGTTTAAAGTAATTGTGACTCCAGTCATTTTTACTACAGTGTAAAAGAGTGTTATTTCATCCAAATATACATACAATATGTTATCCACTCTCCTTTTATTCATTGTTGTACAGTTGGTAACTAACTAACCTTACCTTGTCGTCTTCATGATCAAAGCAGACTCAACTGTCGTCGTCAGTCTCTCAATGCCGTCTCGTCGTCTACTGTCTGTTGTTATTCAATCAGTTGCAATCTTGATACTTTCAATGCATTAAAACTTGGATATGTAAACAGTATTGGGATAAAATGGGAAAATAAATAGTCAACAATAGTTCTCAATAGTTTAATAGAATCTTCAGAATGTTGATTTAACCGTGGCGTGATTAAATTGCGCATAGTTGAAAAAATAAACTGACAGAACAAATCCCGTCCCGAGAAAATCCCGAATTGAAAGTAATCCCGTCCCGATGATCGGGAATTAAATATTCCCGAAAATTTCCCGAAATTTCGGGACCCGTCCATCCCTAATATATATATAAATATATAAATATATAAATATATAAATATATAAATATATAAATATATAAATATATAAATATATAAATATATAAATATATAAATATATAAATATATAAATATATAAATATATAAATATATATATATATATATATATGAATTTGAACGGATGGTGTTTTTGGCCTCTAGGGACCTCAAAACGAAAAAAAAAATCTGTCCCGCGTCCAGGTCTTACCATGAGTACTACGGTAATAGCTTATTCCCTATATGGGAAATTCGCTAAAATGTAGACAAATTATGTTTACAAAAATGTGAGTGTTATACGAGTACCAACCAAATAATATTTTACACAAGGATATTCCTCCACAAATATTTAGTAGGCTATTGAGTATTTATGTAAATAATATTTTTGTACTAACTTAACAGGGTTAACTTTTCATATTTTAATTTAGGGAAAATTTTTAATCAGAAGTTTTCGTCGTGTTTCCACAAGTTGTACATGTAGCAACAGGCCCGACGCAGTCACGCCAACCTCACAGCAATGCGGTACCGCACATATTACTTCCTGCTTTGGCTGCGGACATCGCACAAGTGGCGTGCTATCATAGACAGTGTTGCAGGATAAAGTTTGAAAATAAAAATACCCTATAATAAATGGTACCATGTACTCTAAAAACCAAAGGGAACTATTAGGAACCTAGTTTTCTGGGGTATTGAGTCCCCACCAGATTTGGAAAATTGCTTTTAAGGTGGAAGATAACTACTAGATGTGAAGTTCTAAAACATATCCGTTGAGCTCACAACTCTCTAAAAGATTTTTATCGGAATTCAATATACAAAAATGCTATAGCAGTTTACGCAGCAAGTTTAAAGTTTAAAGATAGTAACGACACGAGTAGAAAATATATGGTACGAGCCATGGTGAGTGCCTTTAAAACATCCACGAGTGTCTAGACTATTTACTCGAGTTGCGTACACTACTTTACCTACTACAGTTTTTACTAACAATCACTGCTAATAACTTCTGAGAGCTTTTTATAACCTTTTATTTCCACTGACAGTGATGCAACGACTCATGGTACGAACCCCTTATTGCACCGATCATTAACAATTAAATTGGTAAACAGCTGATTAATTGGAGTTTTGAAACATTACAATTTTACTTCTTTCTCTTAATCCTTGAACCTCATTGGTCCGTTACTCGTGTTGTCAAGTAAAACAATGTAAGTACTAGGTGGCGTTCGCAGAGGCATCTACAAAATTGAGCGGAGTCATCAAGAGTTCATATTATACTGTATTGTTTTTGTAATACTTCAGTAAAAACAATCGTATTTAGCAGTAAAAGTAGCATTTTTACTCGTTAGGGAGTGAAAATTGTTTTTTGTTTGTAAAAAATCAGCTGTTGTCAACTCATTTTTAAATTTCTATTGTAAACTATTGCATGTATCGAAATATGTATCGATTCGTGCTTCGTAATAGTTTTAACCTACAGTCTACAGTCTCTTCCCATAGCATTTTAGAATTGCGGATAAATTAATCCATTCCCACACTGAACACAGCTCACCTTTACTACTTCCTTCACCACCCCCTACACGTGGACCTGTTTCCCCCTCTTCCCATAGCATTTAAGGATTGCAGATACATTAATGTAATTGTCAAAGACAGTTCCCACACTCTGCACTGCAAACCTTACTACTCCATTCGCCCTTTCCAACGTCATAGACCTGTTTCCTTCCCTTCTCATAACATTTAAGTATTAGATACATTTATCTAACTGCCACAGACGGTTCCCACACTATGCTCATACTTTACTATTTCCTAAGCCATTTCCTACATCGTGTACCTGTTTTCATCACTTTCCATAGCATTTTAGTATTTTAGATACGTTAATCTAATTGCCACAAACATTGACCACACTCCGCACGGCTAGCCTTTACTGGTTCTTTCACCATTTTCTGGATATGTTTCCATCCCTTCTCATATCATTTTAGCATTTCAGGTACATTAATCTAACTGCTACAAACGGTTTCCAGTTCCCACACTCCACACTGCTCACCTTATTACTTCTTTCACCTCTTCTTACGTCGCGGACCTGTTTCCCTCTCTTTCCATAGAATTTCAAGATTGTAGATACCTTAATCTAATCGTCATAAACAGTTCTCACAACCCCGGACAGCTCGCCTTTACTACTTCCTTCACCACTTCCTACGTCACGGACCTGTTTCCCTCCCTTTCCATAGCATTTTAGGATTGCAGATACCTTAATCTAATCGTCATAAACAGATCCCACACTCCAGACAGCTCGCCTTTACTACTTCCTTCACCACTTCCTACGTCACGGACCTTTTTCCCTCCCTTTCCATAGCATTTTAGGATTGCAGGTACATTAATCTAACTGCTACAAACGGTTTCCAGTTCCCACACTCCACACTGCTCACCTTACTACTTCCTTTACCTCTTCTTACGTCGAGGACCTGTTTCCCTCCCTTCCCGTAGCATTTTAGGATTGCAGATAACATAATCTAATCGTAATAAACAGTTCCCACACTCCGGACAGCTCGACTTTACTACTTCCTTCACCACTTCCTACGTCGCGGACCTGTTTCCTTCCCTTCCAATAGCATTTTAGGATTGCAGATACCTATATCTAATCGTCATAAACAGTTTCCACACCCCAAGACTGCTCACCTTTACTACTTCCTTCACCACTTCCTACGTCACGGACCTCAAGCTAGTGACGTCATTTGATTATATTTATGATGATCCATACCGTTTCTGTTCTAA